AGGCTGCCCAAAATGACGCAGAGTCACTGCAAGCAGAAACTTAGCCAGGGCTGAAATCAGAAAATTCCACTAAAGAAGGCCTCAGCAGCAGAATTCATGAGGACTAGCACCATTTTCTTCCTTTCAAAGGAGGTGGCAAGAAGAAGTGAGAAAAAGGGGGGCGTGAGGCTACACAAGGAGGCCTCCCCAGATGCTCCTTTTGGAGTTTTCTTCCAGGCAGAAAGGGCGATGGAGGGAGGGGGCAATCCCCACTTTTAAGGCTTCATCAAAATATCCATTAAAGTATTCATTAAAATACTTTTTAATGCTTCAACGCTTCTACGCCTTGGAATCAGACCTAGTTACCAGCCTGGGATGGCCCGGAGGGGCTCGTTCCTTTAGTCTAAGCCCGTCCCACCTCGCAAGGTTGTTGTGAGCGTGCAAACAGCCCCCAAATTTGCAGAACCGGACTGGGTCCATATAACTAGAATTGGGGAGCAAAAGGGACAACGGAGCCATCCCAGCTCTGGCCACCAGAGGGCAGTGTTCACCACCCTTTGGTGGGGGGGGGCTGGTCTGTTTTTTCTTCCATCAAGAATCTTGAATTAAAAAAGGTGAATTTGATGAAAGAATTTGATGAAAAGCGCCAACAATTAAGGACAATGACCCCACACACACACAACAGCCCCGCCTTCCTTGTCTATTCCCTTCCTGGTTCTGTTTTGGCAGACTCGAGTTTCTAGTCCTCTTGATTGCATTGCCAGGAGACTTTTGCCTGCCCAGGTGAACTCAGGGGGCTCAGGATGGATCCATCCCTGAACGGTGGGGTCTGGTTCATAAGCCCCCCCCTCCAATTCATTGCCACCTGTGCCACCGCGGGTGCTGTGCTTTCATACGTCCTCCCAGCTGGGGCGCATCCTGCCTGCCCTCCCACGATTCAGTCTTGCCAGGTGGTTGATGGGGGCGTATTATGAAGTCCTCCAGGTGGGCATATCTTCCCCCCACCCTCACCTGTCTTGGCATCACAGGTTGCTATTCTGGGCTTGCCACCCCTGGCGCGGCTGTCCTCATGGACGAAAAAGTTTGGATGTTTTTCCTGAAAAGTTAAAACTTTGAAAGCATCCCAACCAATTTGCATTTTAATAAATCCCTTCGTGTTATTTTTTTTTTCCCCTCCCGGCGCCCCCCGGGAGAACCAAGTTCCGAAAATGAGAAATTGAGATTTGGGGGGGGGAGGCTGAAGAGAGAGGGAAGAAACAGGCCGAGGAGACGAAGTGATCAGGCAAAGTCTTATGAGAAATTATTGCTTTGGGGATTTTAATAAAAGCAGGCAGTAGGGAGGGGGGGGGGNAGGAGGAGGAGACCCAGGTCTCTGAAATTCCCAAGGACGGTGCAAATCCTCGCCTGCAGGGAGCATGCAAGAAAACGACTTTTGCAAGGGAGAGAAACACAACTGCATTTTTAAAACTGCTCTATCCACAAGCATAGAGGCCACCAGCAGAAAGATTCAACGGGGATTCGAACTAGCACCGAGTCTCCAAATTTTCTCAGAGCTAAAACCTCTCGGACAGCGAATCTAAACCTTTTTCAGTTTCCAAAATAAGGGAATCAGATTCCCCGTCTTCGCCAATCAGAAAAACACGACGTTTCCTGGGGGGGAGAAGCCCAGCTGTTTATCCGTCCGGCTGTTCCCCTAAATTCCGCTTTTATTTACTTTATAAAGATGTCTTTTTTTGAAGGGGCTTTTTCTCTCTCTCCAGCCGCCGCCTCGCTCAGAAACGGCTTGGGAAATTTTCCAGCGGACTTAAAAAGTTGTCGGAGAAGCCGAAGAGGAATAAATGCCAAAAACTGAACTCCCAAAAGCCAAAAGTGGCAAAAGGATGGCGCTTTCAACAGCGTCCAGCCAAAAGTCCACTTTCTGATGGTTGTGCCCTTTAATTCCAGATTCCCGGGTGTTCCTCGCACACTTCTGAGGCCCAGTGTGTGTGGGGGAAAGGGGGGGGGATTTTTCCATCCGCCATCAGGGTGGGGGGAACTCCGGGGGTTCCTCCTCGTCCGAATCGAACTCCACATTCTCGTCTTTGACCCATTTGCCTGACCCGTCTGGAACCCACCCCGAACTGCAAGAAAAGGAACAAAAAAATTTTAAGCCGGGGAAGGAAACTCCAGGCTAAGCCCCTCATAAGCCCCACCTCCCTGGGGGGGGGGGTTGTTACCTTTTCAGATTCAGGTAATGTTCCAAGGTGCGTCGCTTCTCCGGATCGCTGTGCTCGGACGATTTCCGGGTAATGCGCCTTTTTCCTTGACGGGGAAATTTCTTCTTGCGAGTCTCTGCGAGAAAGGACGACGGGGGAAATGACTTAGCTTTGCTCGTGCGCGACACCCCTGCGGGTTGCAAAGGCAGTTTGTTGTGCCAACTGGGGTTTGTTGGTTCATTTATTTGCCCCCACCTGGTATCCAGAGATAAAACAATAAGCCATCTTTAAGCCATCTTTCGTGCACAAATGATGCTTCTTGGACTTAAACAAGTTTCGCATCTCTTTTCCTGTCCTTAACACTTCCCTGGCTAGCTCTGGTCCTTTCCCAGGGTTAGGGGTTTACGCTCCCTGCGAGGTGGGCCACCCATCTCTGCTCATTTCGTGCCTGGGCTTACTTACAAGATCTCAGAACAGCTTCTAACCTGCTGTTGGGGGTCTGCAGCCGGACAAACGGGGAGAGGGGCTCGCGTCCTCTTCGACCTGCTGCCCTCCGTCCATCGAGTCCGAACCGGAAGGCTTGGGCATCCCGGGGGTCTCGGCTGCTGTGACGCTGGCACTCGCCCCCCAAGTACTGGCACCAGCTTCGTTCCTGCACCAAACCAGAAGCCGCAGAGATCCAGATGTGTTAACTGACCTTCCAAAGAAGGCAGAGAGCCGAGGTGGTGCAGTGGTTAAATGCAGCACTGCAGGCCACTTCAGCTGACTGTTATCTGCAGTTCGGCTGTTCAAATCTCACCGGCTCAAGGTTGCCTTCCATCCTTCCGAGGTGGGTGAAATGAGGACCCGGATTGTTGTTGGGGGCGATATGCTGACTCTGTAAACCGNTATTCTTTATATTCTATATTCTATTATATTCTTTATATTCTATATTCTATTCCATTCTATTCTTTCTATTCTATATTCTATTATATTCTTTATATTCTATATTCTATATTCTATATTCTATATTCTATATTCTACATTCTACATTCTACATTCTATATTCTATATTCTATTCTTTCTATTTTATCTATTCTATTCTATTCTATTCTATTCTTTCTCTTCTACTGTATATTCTATGCTATTCTAAATGCCCTTGGGTCCAACCCTTCTGCCCCCTCCCTGCATGCCCTTTTCTTGAACTCAGGGCCTCGGGGGTCCTTGCTCTTGCTGCTTCCATTGTCCAAGAGATTTCCCCCAGGGATGGGTGGATCCCATTGGAAGCACTTCTTCTTCGCTCCTGATTGTGCTGGAGGGGGTTGGGATGGCTTGAGCAACCCCCCCCCCCCGCACCCTCTCCTTAAACCCACCCTTGGCTTCCCACCCGGAAGGAAAACAGCTTCCTTTCCCCTTTTGCAAACACGCTCCCATTTCCTTCCCCACATCCAGAGGGGAAAAAAAAAGAAGAAATAAATAAGAAATTGAGCCATTGAGAAAATAACAATGAACTGGAAAAACACTTCAGCGGCTCCGTTCCCGGGGTTTTTACGGGGTCTTTTTCCGGCCCAACCGCAGCTATTGTGCGTTCCCTCGGGCCGGGTGTCCTTGTGGCCAGAATCTGCTTTTAGAGGAGGGGGCTTCCCCACTCCCCTGCTTCCCCCGGCTGCCTCTGCATTCATCTGCGTCCTTTCCACCCCAGTAGCTGGAAGAGGAAATTCTGTAGGGGAATGGATGTTTTTCCAGCTGGTTGCCTGGATAACTGGTGTCTCTGTGTGTGTGTGTGTGTTTGTGTGTGTGTGTCTGTGCAGGCTTGTGTGCTTCTGGATCCACACCAAGAAAGGTAAAATTAAACACACTACAGGTTCGTCTGCAGGGGGAGGAAAAAAACCCTGGTGCTTCTTTACTAAACAGAGCAAAAGCTGAGTTAAGTTGAGGGATGCAAGCAAGATTTACCCACTTAGTTCAGGGGTCTCTAATCTTGGCCACTTCGAAGACTTGTGGACTCCAACTCCCAGAATCCCATGCGTAGCAGCTGGCTGGGGAATTCTGGGAGTTGAAGTCCACAAGTCTTCGAAGTGGCCAAGAGTGGGCACCCTTGAAGATCAAACGAGTTTGGAAGGTTTCCAAAGGCCTTGCTTCAATTCTTTAGTATTTCATCAGAATCGAGCTGGAAGGGACCTTGGAGGTCCTCTAGCCCAACCCCCTGCTGGAGCAGGAGACCCTACCTACCCCATTACAGACCGGAGGCTGTCTGGTTTTCCCTTAAAAACCTCCAGGGATGAAGCACCTCCAACTTCTCAAGGCCGGCTGTGCCCACTAAGGTTCATTTCGTGTCCGATCCCAAACATTTCTGTGCCTTCCGTTAGCAAACCCGGAGTAGCCAACTTCGCCCGGAGCCTCCAGCTGTGCTCCACAACTGTCCTTATTTTGAAATGTAACCAGATCTTATAAAAACGGGCTGTCCAAGTCATTGGTTCTCCAGCTGTACGGAGATTGGATCTGCCTCGGTGTTGCTAAGATTACGGATTGGTGGGGCTGCGAAGAAAGCAGAGCGAACACACACCCACACCCACCTTGTGGGAGGTTGCACTCTGCACATCCTCCGATACTATTTACGTCTCGCCCCGTGTTGGCCTTTTGTGTGTGTGTGTGTGTCCCCCCCTCCCCAATTAAACCCCCCTTTTTCTCTCTCTCTTCCAGAGAGCCAGCATGAAAAGATCCGAAGAAGAGAAGAGAAGAGAAGGAGGGAAGGATTCCTTGATGCCAAAGTGATAAAGTGGATTATTTGCGCTCCACCCTAAAATTAGAGCCTTAATCCTTGGGCAGAGCAGGGGGGGGGGTGCCACGGGTGGGAAGGAAGCCACGGGGGGGGGCCTGCCGGGTGCCCCCTCTGCAGGGCCAGCCCCCCCAGCCCCCCCCACCCCGAGACCCTGGCAGGCAGCCTTGCTAATTGTCACTGCCTCTAATTGTGATGGATGGGGAGAAGGACAAAAATGGGTGTGGAGTTGCCATATTGCTGGGTGTGCAGGAAGAGCCGCTATTGTTCTTCACACACAAACACACACACACACAAACACACACAGAAAGGTGCCTCCTCCGGCAGCGAAAGGAACTCCGAAGAATTGTGTCGAAGGGCGTCTGTGTGTGTGTGTGTGTGTGTGTGTGTGATTGTGCAGCCAAAGCTTATAACGTGTGTCTCTGTGGACATCCCTGAAGCCTTTCCCTGAAGCAAATCCTTCTGAAGCCTTCCTCCACTGCTGAATGGGGGCGGGCTTCCATCTTTGTGGATTTAACCACAAAGCGAAGTTGCTAGTCCTCAAGGTTCCAAGGAAGCGAGTCCATGCGTTTGGCCTCCTACTCGGTATTAACAAGCTTGGATGGGGAAACAGCAGGAGGAGCTCAGGCCTGATTTGAGCCCCATGTCAATAACCCAGAGGGACGCGGTGGCTCAGCGGCTAAGACGCCGAGCTTGTCGATCAGAAAAGGTCGGCACTTCGGCGGTTCGAATCCCAAGGGCCGCGTAACAGAGTGAGCTCCCGTGACTTCTCCCAGCTTCTGCCAACCTAGCAGTTCAAAAGGATGTAGAAAATGCAAGTGGAAAAATAGGAACCACCTTTGGTGGGAAGGGAACAGCGTTCCATGTTGCGTCTTCGGCATTGAGTCATGCCGGCCACATGACCACGGAGGCGTCTTCGGACAGCGCTGGCTCTTCGGCTTTGAAAGGGAGATGAGCATCGCCCCCTAGAGTCGGGAATGACTAGCACACATGTGCCAGGAGAATCTTTACTTTATTAATAACAGCTGCAAGGACGTAGCTACATTCACGAGACATGAGATGCCCTCGTGGTTCTCCCTTGGAACTCTTAACAGGCAGCCAGCACAAAACCCTCTAACCATGGTTTACAGCTCAGCCCAGATTGCAAATCTGACCCATGGGGGGGGGGAGAGAAGGGGGGGGGTCCTGTTATATATCAAAGGAAGCCAGAGATTCAGGAAGGGTATATTTTCCTTCCCCAGATGGGGCACCCACAGGGGTTTTAAGCCATCATGGTTTGGAGATGGTGGTTCTGAAACTCCCCCACCCCACGAGGGTGGGTGGGGGGGCTGCTGTTCTGCCTGCAGACTGACTGGGGGACCCTTCCCCCCCCCACTTCGCCTTTGCTTCTGAGTTATTAATTTAAGAGAGCTAATGCCTGCTAATCTTCAAACGCACAGCCTTCCCAAAGTGAAAGGAGATTATCTATGGACTTCAGCAAACCCCCCAGCCCTCAACCCACCCACCCCCACTTTCACCCCACTGATGACTCTTGCTATTTCTGGCTCCCCCCAAAAAAGGACCCCCTGTCACTTTGGGGGGGGGGGTTCCCTTCCTCCAAGGAGATGGCCAACTTTTNTGTATGTGCGTGTGCGTGTGTATATAAATATATATTTGCCAATTCTGCTGGTTTGCTTCGACTTCCTCTGCATACCAAGCAGTTTCCCCTTCCGGCCTCCCCCTCCCCTCTTGCTCGTGGTTCCTTCTCGCTCCCCGAGGAAGAGACCTGTGCGTCTCCAAAGCTTGCCCGAATGGGCCCACGAAAAAGGTTGCCCTGGTAGAAATATTGGGGAACGGAAGGAAGCCTTTAATCTTTCTGTATCCAATGTGGGATTTGCAAGGAGTTGCTTTGATGAGCCGGCCTGCTTTTTTTAATTTAAAAAAGCCGTATTTTCCCCCTTTTTTCCTTCCTGGCTACCCCCCCCCCTTCCCCTGCTCCAGGTGCCAGGGGGGCTTCCTGCTTTTAGCTGCATCCTTTTAGAATCTCCCAGCAGGGAGGCCATTGGCCTTCAATTCTTGAAAAGGGAAATGCAGCCAGGGATGGCAGAGTCAAACTTATGGGGTGGGAGGTGTGAGAACAGCGATACCAACAAGTCTGGTGCCCGTTGCTCTTCCAGAGGCTCCCAGGGCCAAAGCTGGCGTCTCCTTTCTCTCCCTGGAAGGCTTGGCGGAGAGAGAGGGGGGGGGAAAGGGTGCCTCTGAGCAGGTGCAGAGGGCTGGGTCCCCAAGGGCCTTGGTCCGAGAGCTGAAGGCGAGGCCAGGACGGAGGGAAGGGAAGCGGAGGTGGCATCGGGCGGGCGCGTCTCCTCGTCTTCAAAGCAGCTGCCCCCTGCCCCCCCCGCCCGCCAATGCCCCCCCGGGATGCTGGAGGCGGCGCAGGGAGGCACGTGCCGCCGCCCCAAGGCCGAAACCTAAGCCAATTTCGCACGTGCGACTGGCAAAGCTGCTGGTCCCAAGAAGACGCGCCCTGGCAGGAAAGAGGGCGCAGGAGTCTCTGAAGTTAGGGGGGAGAGGGTGCCCCGCCCTGGGACGCCTGGAGGGGGATGCTCAGGGAGGGGGGGGAGGAAGGAGCACGCTTTGCATATGCTCAGAGGCTCACCTAAGCCTCTCCACGCCGCCTTCAGCCTCAGAGGAAGAGGGCGCATTTTCTGCGCAAAAAAAAAACCTCTCCAGACTTTCTAACAAAACAGAGATTTCCCCAATTGTCTTTCGCCATCCCGCTGACTCAGACCCGGTTGCAACACAAGGGGGAGGGTAATGAAGCCCCCCTCCTCCCTCGCCCCCCCCCATCCATCCCCTCCCTTCCCTCCCCCAAGAAACCTGCCCGGGACCCCAAAGCGCGCGGCGCCCA